GTGCCGCCAGCCCCCGCCTCCTGGCCGTGAATGTCATGGCCCCGCTCCCCTTCATCTCCCAGAGTGGCACTCTGCTGACTTCCGTGCTGCTCAGCCGGGCTGCCGCATAGGAGCAAGTGGCGCAAGCGACCGTTTGGGCTCCGTGGGGGGGGAGGAGAAGAGAAAGAGAGAGACAGAGAGAGAGGCAGGAGGCAAAGGAGAGCTGAGAGAGAGAGGGGGGAGGCAGTAAGAAGAGGGGAGAGAGAGAGACGGAGCAAGGCACCGGAGGCTCAGGAGAGAAGACCGATGTGGAGGAGAGACCTGAAAATCCCGTCTTATGACGGCTAATTGGCTAATCATAGAGGGTATGTCTACACTAGCCCCCTAGTTCGAACTAGGGAGGCTAATGTAAGCATTCGAAGTTTAAATATCCCGGGCTTTATTTGCATCTTCCCGTCCGGGCGCCATTTTTAAATCCCCTTAGTCTGAACTAACTGCCCGCGGCTACACGCGGCAGTCAAACATTAACTCGAACTAAGTCCTCCCAACCTCCCAGCTCCCACCATTCCTCGCAGCTACTCACCTGTGCAGGCGCACAGTTCAGAGAGGGCTCAAGAGCTACTCTTAGAGCCCCTGACATCTACTGGTAGCTCATGATCTACTGGTTGGTGACCACGGCTCTGGCTGAATCGTGCACACTGTGCTTCCTTCCAGGGCATACAGTCTCTGGCTTGTGCTCACAGCCCTGGTATGGGATCACAGCACCATGGCTTCCACATCCAGGTCCTGCCTTCTTGAACAGATCAGGTGGGGCCCATTTCTGTACCCTCAGATGGTGTCCTTTCAGCAGCCCCCAAGGGCTCAATCTTCAAACAGAACAGCAGGGCCCATCATGGTACCCGCACTTAGCCTGGCTAGGTTCTGGGCGCAGCCTGCCCATACTGTCACAATGGTGCACATCCGAACAGCGCACATCACCTAATATTGGTGCACAAGCCAAAACTCACTTTGCTCATGGTTGGAAAATCTTAGCAGGACACTGACACATACCCCCCTTTACACATACCCCCCTTTACCCTGCCTCAGATACCATAGGTTCTTTACTTATGGCTTCCTGCTTCTCTGGTGGGATCTAATAAATCAAGACTGATCTTTTGAGGGGGGTCAGATCTTGGTGGGGAGCTACATCCACAAAGGTGTGAGGTATGAGAATGTACAAGGTTTTCAGGTTTGTCATTTGGATGAGTGTGAGCTGATGAGGCCTCAGTTGGAGTACTGTGTCCAGTTCTGGGCACCACATTTCAGGAAAGATGTGGAGAAATTGGAAAGGGTCCAGAGAAGAGCTTTGGGCAGAACCAGGGTTGGAATCCTGCAATGGCACGAGCACCCACTTCTCATGAGTGCTCTCAAGAATGATTAAAGGTCTAGAGAGCATGACCTATGAAGGAAGGCTGAAAGAACTGGGAGAAGTTTGGAAAGGAGAAGACTGAGAGGGGACATGATAGTGGTCTTCAGGTATCTCAAAGGGTGTCACAAGGAGGAGGGTGAAAAACTGTTCTCCTTGGCCTCTGTGGATAGAAGAAGCAGCAAGGGGCTTAAACTGCAGCAAGGGAGGTTGAGGTTGGACATTAGGAAAAACTTCCTACCTGGCAGGGTGGTGAAACACTGGAATAAATTGCCTGGGGAGGTTGTTGGATCTCCATCTCTAGAGATATTTAAGAGCAGGTTAAACAGACATCAGTCAGGGATGGTCAGCGGTGCTCACCAACCAGTACACTGGGGTCTACCAGTAGATCTTGGAGCTTCTAGCAGGGGATCCTGACTGGTTTGGCCAGGAAGCTCTCAAGTGCTGGCACTTCAGTTGCCTCTTCCCCCACTGTCAAGCTGCTCCTGCCCTCTGCCTCGGAGCTGCCCCCCTGGGGTGTGGGGTGCAGGCTGTGGGAGGGAGAAGAGGGGGCGCTCGCTGACATCAGGGTGTCCCTCCTCCCCCCACTCCTGTACCAGAGAGAAGGGGATGGAGGGGGCTTGGCAGTGCAAATCTGTCACTCTCACAAACACACTGTCCTTCCCCCTCACCTCCTGGCCCAACATGTACATGGGGGGTTGTTACTTTACTGCTTGCAAAGTGGGTTATTTTTAGTGTGTGACTGGTCTGTGCATTTCATCATTGTCACTTCTCTCTTCTGCTTCCATGGAATTCTGGGAGCAGCGAGTTCTCAAATGTCATGCCTAGAGTAACTATCCCTGCGGCAATTGTGCTCCTGGAAGTGGCTGGCATGTCCCTGCAGCCCCTGAGAGCGGCAGAGCAGGGGGTCTCCACATGCCGTGCTTGGCTGCAGACACCGCTCCTGCAGCTCCCAGGGATCAATAATGGAGAACTGGGGTCAGTGGAAGCTGTGGGGTTGGGGCCAGTAGATGAAGGGCAGCACATGGAGCCACTGTTGTACTTGCCAGCTGCTTTTGGGAGTGGTGCAATCAGGGCAGATGTGAGCCTGCCTTAACTCTGCTACCCCAACCCTGGGACAGCTGTCTGGCCACTCCCAAGGTGGGCCAAGGGGGGGATGGGTGATAAGAGATTATGAAATGAAACTGTGCAAACAATAAGGTCCACAGACATTGGCTGATGGCCACGGCCCTATGCAGCTGTTCAAGGTTCTTACCGTCAGTGTGCACCTGACGGGAATACCGGGCTCTTTCTAGACAGTGCCACTCTGAATTGCCAGGAGTTCTCTGCCCCAAATGCCAGAGCTTTGATTTCCAGGTGGGCGTTTCCTGGAAGATGCTCAGATGAAGTAGCCGTTGAGGACCGTGCCTTTGAGAACACAACTCCAGTGCCACCATCCTGGCCTGCCTTAACTTTGCATGGGTCCCTTTTGATACTGGCAGAAGAGAGCAATTCTGCGGGACCCTGATCAAAGGCTCTAACTAGTTAAATCTCATTTTGTGCTTTGGCCTTTCTAATTTTGTCTCTACATATTTGTGTTATTTGTTTACATCCATCCTCTGTAATCTGCCCTAGTTTCTACCTAGTGTAGCTCTCTCTCTTTCTTGTTTGTTTTTGTTCAGTTTTGGCATTTCAGATCAATGAAGATCGCCTGGTTAACACAGGGTGGCCTCTTGCCATACGTCCTGTCTTTCCGATGCAGCTGGATAGTTTGCTTTTGTGCCCTTAATAATGTCTCAAAAAGGGCCAACTGTCTGGAACTGTTTTTCCCCTTAGACGGTGTTTTTCCCATGGGATCTTAATCTACCAATTCCCTGAGCTGGCTGCCTTTAAATCCATTATCCTTATTGTGTTGTTTTCCCTTCAAACATTCCCTCCCTCCATCCTTCAGGCTCAAGAACTCGACCATTTCACAGTCACTTTCTCCCAGCTGCCTTCAGCTTCCAGCAGGTTGCTCCTTATTTGTCAAAATCAAATCCAGCACAGCCCCTCCGCAGCAGAGGAGAGCGGGGCCCCTTCCAAGGGGCAGCCCTGGCCCCAGTTCAGCCCTTCTGCTCCAGAGCCGTGTGGCGGGCAGCGGCTGCACTGACCCTGCTGGGCACAAGACGTGACAGCTTCCTGCCCCTGCATCTCCCTCCCCCGCCCCCGGCAGCGCCCTGCTCCACCTCACCTCATTGATCTAGCCACAGAGCTCCTCGGGGACGTGGGTCTCTTCTCATCCCAGACCCAGAAACGCAGGCAGTGAAGGGAGGGTCACCATGCATATGGCAGGGAACAGAACCCAGGCGGCCTGACGCCCCTCAGCCAGCATCACAGGGCAGGTTCGAACAGACAGACCCCGTCAGTGCTAGCAGAGTCCAAGCCAAAGGACCTGGCAAACCCTGAGCATCAGGCGTGGTCAGGACTAGGGAGCGTGGCTCAATTTCTGGTCAGGCTGACCCCCTGGTGTGGGACCAAAGAGGACCCTGTGGGGAGGCTGTCCCTGGAGCACCGAGTGGGGGTCAGCTGGACTTGCCCATTCGACCCTATTTCTGCTGCTGCATGGGGTGGGGGCACAGCAAACGAATCCGGCCTTCCTACGGCAGCTGTCAGGGAGCAAAGGCGCCTGGCCATTGGGGAGATGCAAGCATCCGACTATGAGAGGAGATGGGGGCGGTGGGGGGGACTAGCTGACCTCCGGAGGCCTCCTCCCACCCTCATCGTCTGTGGTTCTATGGCCAGAGACACGGAAGTGCCTTAGGAGCACAAGTCCCGCTGCCTTTCACATCCCTTCTGAAAAGAGACCCGTCGCACTTCGGCTGGCTTCGGGTGCCGGCATGACTAGAGCCCCGTCCAGAAAAGACCAGAACTGGGGCCAGGCACTGCAGGACTCGGCCCATCATTGTGGACGGAAGTCCGGCCTCTCGTGGTGCTGTTAATAACAGGCCCCACTGAGTTAACTGGGAGATTTGAACTCAGGACATCAGTGAGGCTGATTGTGCAGGAGCTGGGCCTGCTTCCATGAAATGACCTGGCCTGGCACCCTGGAGCAGCAACGGAGCCAGCCGCTGGGCAGGGCACTTTCACACTGGGCTAGCGCAGGTCTCCTTGGCACTGCATGGCTCCCTGCTCAGGGCTGGCCACAGGTGTCAGGCTGAGCGCGCAGGAAACGGCCGGTCTCTAGCCAAGAGACCACACGCGCTGCCAGTGCAGATCTCTGGGAAGCTGTGACTCACCCATTGGAGACGGACGGTGTGGGCTTCCCCGTTCTGGAATGTAACGTGAACGCCCCCATCCTGCCAGGAAACAGAGAGAGGGAGGTTAGCTTGGACCAGGCTCCCTGAGAACACACGTGCCTGGGGCTATAACCTCTGGCCAGTGCTCCCCAGCCTGGCTGGGGACAAGGAGGAGGGAACCCAGTGTGACAAGCACAGCCAGGCACATCTGGCCAGACCCCCCCCCCCATGTCACCGAAGAGTGTGGCAATCTCTGCGCTGAGTGAAGAAAAACGTCCTTGTGTTTGTTTTAAACCTGCAGCCTATTCATTTCATTTGGTGACTCAGGGTGTGTCTAAACTACATCGCTCCGTCGATGGAGCCATGTAGATTAGGCAGGACAGCAAAGGGAAATGAAGCGGCGATTTAAATAATCACTGCTTAATTTAAATAAAAACGGCCGCCATGCTGTGCCGATCAGCTGAATGTCGGCACAGCGCGGCAGTCTAGAAGAGGATCTGCCGACCCCAGAACCCTTCATCGGCAGATCCTTTATGCCTCTGGCCAGGTGCCCTCTAGGACAGCAGGGGTATCTGTGGTGGGCCGATAACGCCAGGCCATGCAGGCGTCTTGGCAGTGCAGGCCACAGCGTGGCTGGCAGTAGGAAAGGGCCCAGTGGCTGCTCCCCCACACCACGCCAGGGTGGCTAGGATCCAAGCCCATGTGCCCGACCATGCCACAGCAGGGACCCAAAGGCTCATTCAGGGAATCCTAGACAGGCTGCTAGATGGTCCCAGGGACACGCTACCCCGGCACTGGGGCCCCTCCCCAGGCTAGCATGGGCAACTCTCTTGGGCTGACATGAAGCCTGGCTCAGGGGCTGCCTTGTGGGCATGGCCTTTACCATAGAGCTGCACAGCTATGGCAGCATCTCCACGTCCCCAGTGAGCCAGTCCCAAACCAGTGTGCACCTCTTGCTGCCAGCCCCGAAATCCCCCCTCCCGGGTCTCTTCCCCTGACTGCATAGGCTGGCCAGGCATCCAGTGCTCGCCCGGAACGCTGGTTTGGAAGGGGCCCTGGTGGCGCTGGTTGGCACTGCTGACCGGCTGGCAGCACAGTGGGGCTGGGACAGGCTCCCAGAAGCAGCCACCAGGTCCCTGCATCTCCCATTGGTTGTAGTTCCTGGCCAATGAGTACTGTGGAACTGGCACTCGGGGGTGGGAGCTACACATAGAGTCTGGTTCTGCAGCTCCCATTGGCTAAGGGATGCTGCTGCAAAGGATTCTGGGGCACGTGCAGAGAACTAAATGCCCCCATGTGGGGAGGACGGTAGGGCCCAGAAGCAGCCACCAGGTCCCTGCATCTCCCATTGGTTGTAGTTCCTGGCCAATGAGTACTGTGGAACTGGCACTCGGGGGTGGGAGCTACACATAGAGTCTGGTTCTGCAGCTCCCATTGGCTAAGGGATGCTGCTGCAAAGGATTCTGGGGCACGTGCAGAGAACTAAATGCCCCCATGTGGGGAGGACGGTAGGGCAGGATCCAGAGGAGGGTGAGGACAGCGCTGCAGAGCCAGAGCAGAGATGCTGGGAGGCTTGGCACTGAGCCACGGGCTTGGCCAGGCAGCAAGGATGGAGAATGGTGCCTTGGGGAGCTGCCCCCACCCCATCTCTGTGGCGCTCTGCTCCCTGTCCACGGACACTCGCTGACTGAGCTCAGCTTGGGCGACGGGAGATAAGACCACGAAAGCAGGTGCTGGAATCTGTGCATGTGCCAGGATGAAACTCCTCGGGACCGTGGCCAGCTCACCAGCCTGTCCCCAGCATCAGCCAGCTGCTGTGGCAGGCACCAGACCTCCTGCGCTGGGGCTGGGGGGCTGGGAACGGGACATGGGAAAAGCCCCCTCCAAGTCCTCACCATAAAGCCCACAGTGGCCTTGCAGCGAAGTGACCTGGAGTTTGGCCGATCTTTGTCCTCCATCATCCCCCGACTCACACTGCCCACAAGCCCCCAGGCAGTGCCAAAGCTGCAGGACAGAGCACTGGCACCTGCTGCTCATGCCAGCCTGGCGCCTTGGCAGGCTGTGTGCCGCCCGTCATCCAGAGGAGCCAGCCTGTTCCTGGGTGCCTAGCACACTGTGCAGCGTCACTTGAGCCCTCCCAGGCTGCCCTGGGGCAGAGCAGGGCAGGGCAGAAGTGGCGTGAAGAGGTGCACCCCACGGCTCCAAGTGAGCTGAACCCCTTCCGCCAGGTGAAACGCTCGCCCGGGAAGTGCAAAGGGCTGGCTTGCCCCACTTCCAGAAAGCCACAGGGCCAGATCCGCAGCCTATGGAAGACAATGGAGCTTTGCTGATTGACACCTAGAACTCAAAGCCCTTTTAAACCATTAATGAATGAATCCCATGGGAACCAGGCCAGCAGCAGCATCCCCATTTCAGACTGGAGAAACTGAGGCACAGAACAGGACAGTGACTTGCCCACAGACCCAGGATAAGTCAGTGGCGGAACAGGAATTTGCACCCAGATGCCCTTGGCAATAGCCATCAGACCATTCTTCCCCACATGGATCATCCAGGCTGAACCAAACCCTTCACAGCTCTCCCCACCCTCTCTAGGGTCAGCTCAGCTCGGCTCCTCCCTCCGGCCTTTAGGGTGTGATTGATGGGCCTCTCCATTGACCCGCTGTGCAAAGGGAGCGAAGTTCACACAGCGTCCTGGCAAACGGTGAGGGGAAAGGGGCAGGAAGCAAGACAGAGACTGAGTTCGTCCAGACAGAAAGGCTGCTGCTGTAACCCCCGGGTCGTGTGAGGAATGTGCTGGGTGCACCTGAGACGTGTGGGACTGGAAATCAATGGGCCCAGACTGCTGTGTTGGAAATGAGGCTTAGCTGGGGGATGAAATACAGACGGGCTGAGCTATTTTGCCTATCACTCCTCTGGGGCCCTCAAGGGAACCCTTCAGGAAAGCTGGCTGCCATGCTGGCAGACTGTCACCATAGACACCCCCCTCCAGTGACCCCTGTAACGCTGAGAGACATCCTAAGCAGGGAACCTGGAGGACACCTCCCCCAGCTCTGTCTAAATTCCACCCCGCATCTGAAACGTGAGATATGGCCGCCCCCACCACCATGTGAGCTTTTCCTTCCCCCCCGTTCTGCTCTTTTCGGCATCTCTGCTTTTGCCTCTGTCTAATAAGAGCCTGGCTCAATTGTCTATGACTGTACGGCACCGCTGTGAGCCCGGGGCCAGAAAGCAGGTACACGCAGTGCCCCAAACAGCCCAAGGCTGGTACAAATTGCCTGGGTTTCCAGCACTGTCATTGTAACAGTCAAGCCCTGAGACAGAAGCTGTCTTCTCTCCTGGCTCTTCTGTTCCCCCTCGCTGCGCCTGTGTGTTCGGTTGGGGTTGTGTGATGTCAGCTCTAGCCCAATTCCCTTTGCCCGCAGGGCTGTGATTACCAACACTGATACCACCTCAGGCTATGCCTACACTGCACTGTCATTGGTCAAACTTTCATCGGTCAGGGATGTGGGAAAAAAAAGTTTTACCAACAAAAAGTGCCGGGGAGACGCTCTCCCACGGACAATGCTGTGCCTTCCACTGGGGGTGGGTTGATTTTGTCGGCAGGAGAGCTCTTTCCTGCCAGCCAAGAGAAGCTACCCCGTGTGCCTTACAGCTGGGCGGCCCTCTGGCGTGCGTGTAGACAGCCTTTATGTCAGACGTGGGGAGAGGGCAAGGCCAGGCTGCTGCAATGCAACCCTCCTTCATATCACCAAGGCTTCAACTAGTTTCCCTTCCATTCTGTCTCATTACGAAAGTGTTACAGAGGCTTTGAGGGGGCCTTGGCCCTGGCACCGAGCAGGCTGTCACCGTGCACCACTCTAACACTCATGGAACACTGCTGGGGTCACGGTCAAGCCTGTGACTCTCTAGGTCCATTTATTCCATCCCGCCCCAGCCTCTCCCTGCTCTCCTCACTCCTCTCTTCCTTGGCACCAGGCCATTGCTCCAGAGACATTGAGTAATTCCCTTCCCTTGCTCACATTGTTACCTGGGGGGTATTTATAGCCACTTCCTCCCCCTAGCCAGCCCTTGCTGGGCTGTATGGCTGTGTCTAGACTGCATCCCTTTTCCGTAAAAGAGATGCAAATTAGACACATTGCAATTGCAAATGAAGCGGGGCTTTAAATCCCCCCCCCCCCGCTTCATTTGCATAAAAATGGCTGCTGCTTTTTTCCGGCTCGGAGCTTTGCCGGAAAAAAAACACCAGTCTAGACGCGGATCTTTCGGAAAATAAAGCCTTTTCCGAAAGATCCCTTATTCCTTATTTTAAGGGATCCTTATTTTAAGAGGAATAAGGGATCTTTTGGAAAAGGCTTTATTTTCCGAAAGATCCGCGTCTAGACTGGTGTTTTTTTTCCGGCAAAGCTCCGAGCCGGAAAAAAGCAGCAGCCATTTTTATGCAAATGAAGCGGGGGGGGGGGGTTTAAATCTAATTTGCATCCCTTTTACGGAAAAGGGATGCAGTCTAGACACAGCCTATACGTTTAGCCCCCAGAGCCTTCACTACACCTAGAATCATGGTCCAGCCCCCTGCCCAAGGCAGGACCAATCCCAATTATATCATCCCAGCCAGGGCTTTGTCAAGCCGAGACTTAAAAACCTCTAGGGTTGGAGATTCCACCCCCTCCCTGGGGAACCCAGCCCAGTGCTTCCCACCCTCCTTGGAAAATAGCTTTTCCTAGTATCCAACCTAGACCCCCCCCCCACACACACACTGCAGCTTGAGACCATTGCTCCTTGTTCTGCCATCAGCTCTCTTGTTTCCACCTGGGATCAAACCAGGGCACCTTTCACAAAGGAGGGAAACATTTTAACTAGACACTGCAGAAACCCACATGGCTCCCTTGCAACTCAGGGGAGGGATGAGACCGTCCAGATTCCTAGACCTCCCCACCCCAGGTGTGCTGCAGCTTGTGGCGAGACCTTGAAATGAGCAAACCCTCAGCCCTGCCTTCCCACCACATGAACACTGCTGTGCCCCGCTGCCCAGGTGCCTTAGGTTAGCGGTTTAACACTGAGCC